ATACATACATACATACATACACACATACATACATACGTACATACATACATACATACACACACACACACACATATACACACACATACATACACGCGCGCATAAGCATATACATGCATACACATACGCACGCTTGCACACATACGCATACACATACACAGATACACATACATGTGCACACGTACAAATACACATACACATGTTCATACATAATACACAGATACACACATATACGTACATGAACAAATACATAGGCACTTACAATACACATACATTAGCATACACATCACGCACCATACACACATACACGCATACACATATATACACCTACGCACACATACATACATGCATACATAAGCACGCACATATACGCACGTATGCACGTATACACACATCGATCTACACACACACACACACACACATACACACACACACATACACACACATACACATATGACAAATACACATACAAACACGCACATACATACATACACACACACACATACACATATGCACAAATACACATACAAATACGCACATACATACATACACACTTATATATACACATACGCACAAATACACATACAAACACGCATATACATACATATACACACATATATATATACACATACATAAGCATGCACATCACGTACACATATACACATAGACATACACACAGAAATGCACATACTAAGTACTGAGCAATAAAAGTTTGTTGTGATGTTAGTAAAGTCAATAAAGTTAGAGTATATAACAGTGAGAAGAAGAAAGTTTTGAGAAATTAAAATCTAATTAAAAAATACAATAAAAAATTTCAAACTTTTTCTTCTAGCTAAAAAAAAATCAAATATTTAATGAAAAAATAAATGAAATCATAAAAGACATTATTGTTGACAAAAGGCATGGAAAGAGAGGAAGAGAAAGAGAACGAAAGAGAGAGAGAGAGAGCGAAAAAAAAAAAGCAAGTAAATGAAGACGAATGAAAAAGGGGAGACAGTAAATGCAATAAGTTTTTGTTAATTAGGTAAGAATACAAATTGTGAAAAAATTCTATTTTCTTTCTTTTTACAAATAATTTCTAAATATACAAAGGCGCATAGACACACAGACAGACGCACACGCGTACACATACACACACATACACACACATACACACACACACACACACGCAGAAAGAGACAAGTGTCATTGCTCACAACATATGTTGACATTTATTTGTTATGGTGATAAATTGGTTAAAAAATGTATTCAATTTCAAAGAATATATACTTGAAAGTTTCAAATAATGAAAATTTCATTGTGATAGGGAAAGTGAAAAAAAAATGCAATTGCGATAATTAATTATAAAGGAATTTAAAAAGTTTTAAAATTTTTAATGAAATATAAAATTTTTTAATTGTTTTAGAATTCGAATTTGAAGATTGTAATGTATTTCTTTGCTTCCTTTTCTTCTTTCTTTTTTAAGAAAAAAAAAGAAAAAAGAGAGGAAAGAAAACGAAAAAAAAAAGAGAAAAGAAAAAGAAGAGGGAAATAAAATTTGATAAATATGATGATCAATTTTAGTCAGATGATTAAATTTTTTTTTTTTAATGGAATGGTATATGGAATGAAATTGAAGTAAAATATGAAATATACCATTCTATTAATTCTTAATTAATTAATTAATTCTTAAGAATTAATTTTAGGCTTATAAGCTGAAATAATTATGACAGAAATTGGTGATATTGGTTAATCAATTTGAAGTGATAGATAAGCATAGATAAGCATGAAATAAATAAATGTAAAATATGAATTCATTCAACAAAACTTTCATAATCTTTAATGATAAAATACATTAATGTTAGGTTAAGCTTATGCTTAATATTCAAGGTAGGTTAATTTTTAAAAGCTTTATTTAAGTTTTGTTTAAAGAAGAAAAAAAAAATTTAAGTATAAAACTTTAAAATTTCATCATAATCCTAATCAAATGCAACGAAATTACTTCGAACAAATCAAAAATTAGAAAATTATAAAATTAAATAAATATTGACAGAGGAATTTGAAAGAAAATTTGATTAAAAAAAAGAAATGAAAATTGATAAAAGAAAAAAACACAAACAAACAATTGAAATAATCATGTAAATAAGTAAATGAATATTTGGATTAATTAAAGAAATGAATTTCAAACTAATTAACAAATAAATCACACTACTAAATAAATGAAATTTTCCATCAAAATTTCAGTTGAAAATAAAATTTCAAATGGTAGAATTGTTTTAATTATTAATCAATGTAGCTATAAAATAGTTTAATATGTAATTTTTTAAGTCAAAATTTTGTTTTTTAATTTTTTAAAAAAAAATTTTTAACAATTTCAACTGAATTAATAAAAAGTGTTAAATCCAATATGTAATTTTTTAAGTCAAAATTTTATTTTTTAATTTTTCAAAAAAAAAAAAAATTTTTAACAATTTCAACTGAATTAATGAGAAATGCTAAATCCAATATGTAATTTTTTAAGTTAAAATTTTGTTTTTTAATTTTTTCAAAAAAAAAATTTTTTAACAATTTTAACTGAATTAATGGGAAATGTTAAATCATTGTTTTATAGCTAACTAATAAATATTGAGATAATTATCGTCAAAGCATTGGAATATATATACTTGTTTGAGATGACGTAATGTAATTGATCGTTTTCGTCTTTTTTTTTTTTCATTATCGATCCACTTTTACTTCCGTTTTATTTTTCTTTTTTTTTTTTTTTTTCTATCAATCAAATAATATCATTTCATGATGGCAAAAGTCCTCAATTTAACCTATCGATTTTTTTT